CAAAACGAAACTAAACAATTGTGCGACAGTTTCAGGTGTGCGCGCGCAAAAGCCGAATATTGAAACAAACGCCGCTTACGTCATCATTTAGAATACAATTTTAGTTAAAGCTGTCTCATAATTAAAGACATATTAAAACATTTTAGTACTTGAACTTAAGTCACATTACTAAGGTTCTCGGAAAGCGTCTATCATGTGTTGTAATTGTTAAGGTTTCACGTAACCAACATGCGAAGTTAGAATGCAAAGTCAAATATAAGTAAACCTCTGTTGACTTAAAGGCAGCTGGTAACTTCTGGCGGTGTTGGCCGCATAAACATCGCCTTGTTTGTTCCACTTTGTTTCGTAACTTGCATAGTTTATTCATTACGATACTGTTATATTGAAAGCGTGTAATGAAATGGTTGGATAGAAAACTTTACGCAGAATTCCTAAGTTTTAAAGTTTTAAAAATTTTAGAACATAGTCTGGAAGGACACAACATAGGTTAGTAAGATTTTTTTTAAATGCTGATTTACAAACAGTACAAAGTCGCTGATAAAAACTATAAGTGTATTAAAACAAAGTCGCTTCGACTCGAGTCGACTTTTTATATTATATTAATATTTTTTAATAAAAATATTATAATGAGAGACATAAAAAATGAGAATTTGACGTAGTCATAAGAAAATCTATCCAAGGGCTTCAACACATTGGAGTAAACATACAAATATTGATTCTAATTTATCAAACAAATTAATTCCTTACATAAGATACAATTGAGAATTCAACATATAGTAACAAATACATTATCCCTTTTCATGGTCTAAATGAGGTCCTAACAATACCTTCTTTCGGATTACAGCAGTAATTCGAAGTCGAGTGGAAAAGGTGTAATGAAGTCGGACGCTCCAACGAGACCTCAATGTTGTGAGTTAAAAACATTGATTGCGGTTGATAAGGTACCCGAAACATGTGTGTTTATCTAAAAGGATAACAGAAAGGTATGGTGTGGCATTCTATACAAGTTAAATAGATTTCTTAATGAATAGAATCGTTTAAATTATTTCTAAATGCAAATACTTTATTTGTTCTTTCATTTTTTATATCTTACGCCCGCAACTCCGTCCGCGTGGAATTAAAATAAAAGTAAGTAGCCTATTCTTCTTCCAGACTATGTTTTACATATATACTAAATTTCATCGTGACCCGTTCAGCCGTTTAGGCTACAAACTCTAACAAACATCCATCCATCTAAACTTTCGCATTTACAATATTAGTATAGTAAAGTATGATAACAGCAATGCATAATAAACATGTATGTGAAATACTTAGTAACATCTTATACTCGTAATATCATACAAAACAATTCCTATAGCTTTATAATAATAGTTACACACGAAGACTAAGCAAACAGAACAGTTTTTTTTTTAATATCATAAAGTGCAAACGAGCAAGCGGCCACCTGAATCAGCCGAAGTGACCGCCGCACGTAGACATTCGCAATAGCGGATCAGTTGCCTACCTTTAATCGACGGAGGAGGAAACGCATATAAAGAGGACATTTTCCCTTCCTTTACATCTCCTCCAGCGTTTAGTCCACGTTCCCTTCCCATCCTATTCTTATAAGTAAAAAGTGGGATGTTAAATAGACTAAAGTTGGGCCTCCGGCACCACTGTGAGTCGTGGTGTACCGGCCGAGCCGACCTATTCGTGCCAAGATGTTAAAGCGGACTCTACCACTGTCATGCACATACACATATAACTTGAACAAACACACCGTCAAAAAATAATAATCGTTTTTCGCGTGTGTTACTTCAGTACTGCACTATCTACTGCTCTGGCTTGTTCTGTCTTCATGTGAAAATATCATAAAGGAGATATAAAAGTGAATACGACTGAAACAACTGACTGCCATTTGGTAGCTCTTGTCCCTCGAGTGTACATTCCGTCATAAAGACCCTTGCACTAAGTTGCTTTATAAAGGTGAAAAGTGCCCCTGGCATAAAGACCGAAACACATAAACTGAGTAAATAAAAACAGACCTATTTGTAAGACTACTTTTCCACCAATCGACCTCTGTTACTTTTAAGTGTAATGTAACAACCACTTTAAAGAAATTGGTTAAACTGTTACATTTAGATTCTACATTTGGCTACTTGCATCTAAATGATGATCAAATTTTAAAGATAGGATACTAAACAGTTTTTTTAAAGCTTTGATCGTTATAAAATAGTTACGTTTAAAACCGTTAGTAGTTCTGATATTGTTCTGCTCAAAGTCACACGTGTTCAATGTCGCACGACGAAATACGCTAGTGGAATGAAGGTTTAAAGTCACTTACGTTTCGCTCCGACACCCGCTGACAACACAAGCAGAGCGCCAAAGAGTATCAACATGTTGTGCGCCATTTTCACTGCAACAAATAAACAAAAGTCAATTTATTAGGCAGGAAAAAACATACAGACGAATTGAGTACCTCCTTCTTTTGGGAAGTCGGTCAAAAAGTAAAATAACAACTCTCTATTTTCATTAAAATAATTTAGTTTTTGTATAAAGAATGAGGGAATACAATGTTTATTCACGAACATTACAATGTAAACCCACGTTATAAGAAATAAATATGACGTCACAATTCAAATCAACACACCCTGCTTAAATTCATTAAACACCTTTTGTACTTCAAACCTTTGAAGTTAGCGGTTCTCTCTTAAGAATAACACTTTTTGTAACAATTTTAATTACAATGAAAAGAAATTCGTATCTCAACTTTTCTCTTTTTATAATTGTCGAATTATGGCAACACTTACAAACTCCATTAACATCAAAGTGAAAATATAATAGCTTTTGAGTTTAAAAAGCCGTTTGTTAATATTTTTAGCCAAAAATTATCGAATTCTTAAAAATTCAGGCTGACCATCGACCATCATTTCCAATAAAAAAAATTATTTCAATTTCTATTTAGTTGATAACTATAAATTGATATATAACTTTAAACTGTCGTGGTTTTTATAAATATAATGTTCGTAAGATGCTGATTCAGCCCGTGAACATGGCGCTGTGCCGAAATATCGGGGGCTAAAACAATTCAATCGTGGTAAGAAACCCGTATCTTACGAACATTATAACTATAAAGTGTACTGAAATAAATGCTTAAATCACTGTTAAACCTTTAACACCGCCATAGGACTCAGTTCTGACAGTTTTAACTGAACAGTTTGACGTAAGTTAACGACTGAAACTAACCTCTAAAACTGAACGCCTGTAGCCGGCTTAACAGTTAAAACTCAATGTATTTAGCGGAAAGCCTCATTTCTAAAAAAAAATTGAGTTCCAAATAAAAATAATTGATTGTTCGAAGGTTTTTAAACTAACACTTCATCATCATCATCATCATCTCCCCTGTCTTATCCTACTCCCGTAGGGTCGGTGCACCGGGTTTTCGTCCTCTAAAGCACTCTATCATCCGTCATCTCAGTCATCACTCTTGTTTAAAACTAACACTTGCTGTTAATAAAAATGCCTTGAAACAGATATAACTTTAATTGCAAACAATCTTGTAATACAAATTATGTGTAAACTGTAATCGTCATTTATATAGAGCCTTTTGAAGAGTGTTTCTAAAAACATTAACAACTTCTCGTTAATGAATTTCGGACCATGTATTCAAAATCTTTTTCATTGAAAGGAACGCAATCCGCTATCAATTGACACCCATTCAATTTATAAGAGTCATGAATGGAATTTTAAAATTAGTCCGTATTCACTTTAAAAATTGAAAAAGACCAATTTTAGTTTACTTCTTCTCTACATAAAGTTAGATCAAATGCCATACAAACACGCCCTTTATACTTTATTCATGTTTTTAAATCTACCAATATATCTATACTATTATAATAAAGCGTAAACACACACTTCATTGTTGCCTAAGATCTCAGCAATTACAGCATTTTTTTGAATAATTCTTTTTTTCATAAAAAGCCCTACACTTACGTCACGCTTTAGGCTATATGTTTTTACGCCATTTAACTTAGGGGGTAAATGTTTTGGATAAAACCCCTAATGTGGGAAAGAGACCATAAGTTGCTGCCAACATCAAGGAAGCAAGGTTGCCATGGTTTGTCATGTCATGTCATTTTGACATTTGCAATTGACAATTTGACACATGTAAACAGTAAAATAATTTTGTGCTGATGGAATCGCACGGGAACAGCTAGTACATGTAATAAAATTGGAGTGTTTGTAATATCAAAAGAAAAATTCCAGATTTCGGGAAAATGATGTATTTGCGTTGCTGATAACAAAAAACGAGTTTAAAAATTTTTTGTCTGTCTGTCTGTCCGTAAACCGCGTATGTTTCGGATAATTTTCGAAACGGTTTGACCGAATTCGACCGGACTTACACTGAAGGGTAGCTAACATAGACATATTATAGCTACTTTTTTATCTTAATATTGCGTGGACGAATTTGCGGGCAACAGCTAGTGTACGCATAAATGCGTTCATATATTTTAATTTAGTCGACGAAGGAAATAATTCTCTTATTGTTAATATGTTATCGTTATCCTGGTTTAAGACATAATTAAATTGAATTTCAACAAGACCCGACCTCTCAATATTTCTACTTAAAGGTAACATTGTTAAGAACCGCACTTAGTTGTCCTTTTGTAATGGATTTCCGTAACGTAACGTCACTTGCAATTACTTATTCGTTTAGAAAAATGGCCTTTATAACTTTGTTTCCATTGCCGAAACACGTACGAAAACATTTTGTTGATCTTTACATTATTTTAAAGAAAATAAAGAATATAATAATTTCAAAACACAATTCATGACGTAAATTATAAACATAACTAATATCTTGTTATTTGAATAAACTTTTTAAAAACTTTGTAAAATAATTAGCTGTTCCTGTGCGGATTTATACGCATGCAATAATAAAAACGTTTTTATATCGATTACATTTGTCAAATTCTCAATTCCAAATGTCAAAATTACCGTTACCATAATAATCTCGCTTTCTTAAGTTGGCAGCTTTTAGTTTATGGTCCCTTTCCAACAGGAAATTTTTTTTTAATTTATTTGCCCCCTAAGTTTAATAGCAAGAAAATGTATAGCCTAAAGCGTGTCACAAGTGTAAGGCTTTTCATAAGAGAAAGAATTATTTAAAAATATGATGTGATTGCTGACATCCTACGCCACAAAGTATTGTGTGTTTAAGCTTTATTATTTATTGAAGTATAGAAAAGATTTCAATTTTTTAAAAAGTTTTGACTACTTCGTTGTCTAATATGCTACTGGCATACGGATGATCTCAGGGCTCTCGCGGAAGATCAGCGTTGGGAGCCTCATTGAGTAGCACCTAGCATTTAAAGCAGAGCGGTCAGCTCAATCCGGTCAACATCACAATGGTTTGTTTCTTTATTTATTTATTTATTTATCTATTCATTAAATACATGAAATAATTATTATATTATTTTATTTAGTTAATTACATTTTTTCGCTACTTAGCTACTACGTTATGTTTGTTTTTCTCTTATTATTTCTGATTGTTTGTATTGCTAAGGATTAAACGTTATTTTATATAATAGAACCGCTATTAAATAACTTGTACGGATTAATAGGTAATATTTTTCCAATAACTATAATCAACAATAATATTTCTATAATAAGCAAGTGTCTTTTCAGCCCAGCAAAGGTTGAATGGAATAGATTTTTTCATATCATCCAATTACATAATGAAAACTTACTCATATTGTGAAGAAAAGTATACGAAAATGTCAAAAATACTCTTTTTAGATATTCCACGATAATCGTATTTTAGGAACATTTTAAAAGCAGGTTATAATGAATTTAGATTCTATTTATATTATCATATATCTTTATTTCTTACTCTCTATATAATACATTTTACAAGATTACAAAAATAAAATAAAATATATTATATAATATAAAAAATAGAGCACCACCGGCTGCGGAATCCGATGACTCAAGCAACCAGTGGTCAGGGCTGCAGAGACAGGAACCTCCTCACTAGTCGTGCGGTTTCTAAAATAACCGCCTTTTGAATCGGGCCCTTAATCCAACTGTCTAGCGAGAGCTTCTTGAGGTGTTGGTCGAAGCTCTTCGCTATCAGCCCGTGTACCGAAACGACTATCGGAATAATGGTAGTCGATTTCATACGCCATATGGCGGTAATCTCGTGAGCCAAATCCAAATATTTTAATAGTTTCTATTTATATTATTATTAACACAGTTATATTTACAGTGATTTAATAAATATGTAAAATTATTACGTCCAAAAATAACTTAACATAAGTGAACTCCCGTATTAATATGGATGACCCTTCCCTTTGGTTCACCATAATAATTATCAACACAAACTATATTATTACTAGCTGTTCCCGTGCGACTTCATCCGCGTGAAATTATGAAAATTATATTTTATTGTTTACATTTTTCAAATTATAAATGTCTAAATTACATGACATGATGACAAACTTGCTTCAAGATGTTGGCAGCAACTTATGGTCTTTTTCCCACATTAGGGTTTTTATCCAAGATATTTACCCCCTAAGTTAAATGGCGTGAAAACATGTAGCCTAAAGCATGACGTAAGTGTAGGGCTTTTTATTAAAAAAAAACTATTCAAAAATATGCTGTAATTGCTGACATCTTAGGCAACAAAGAAGTGTGTGTTTACGCTTTATTATAATAGTATAGATAGACGACTATTAAAGACATTTGGAGTCGATCACAAAACTTAACTAGCATCAAATACTTGTATCTTTTAGTTTTAATAAGTTTTTTTTCTTATAAACAATACAATAAATTAACTTCACATATGTAAAACAAATGAAGTCAACAACACTCAAAAGCTTCATAATTACAGGGAAGTTTTGTGTTGAAAAGGAAACAATACACACAACAACTCTCAATCAAGAGTATATTCATATGGTTTAAAAATTGTTACTAAGTGTAAAACAATAAAACTTGATTCCGATTCCTTTTAAAACATAAAAATTTAATAAATCTTTCTTCTTGAATATATATTTCTAATAGGTTAATACGGACGTAATAGCGTAGTTAAAATAATTATCGTAAAACACTAATGTGCCATTTACTTGCACTTTATTATTTTATTACACAAACTAAGAAGCAGATAAAAGGTTATTTAACTTCAATATTAAAACTGGAATTAACAGCAACATAATCTTACTAATATTATAAATGCGGAAGTTTAGATGGATGGATGTTTGTTAGAGTTTGTACACTAAACGGCTGAACGGATCATGATAAAATATAGCTGTAGATGAAAGTCTGGAAGAACATAAAGTGTAGTCACTTTTATTTTTTTTAATTCCACACGGACGGCGTCGCGGGTGGAAGCTAGTTACTAATATTATAAATGCGAAAGTTTAGATTGATGGATGGATAGATGGATGTTTGTTAGAGTTTGTAGCTTAAACGGCTGAACGGATTTCGATGAACTTTGGTATAGATGTAGGGGATAGGAATACATAGGCTATTTATTTATTAATTCCACGCGGACGGGGTCATGGACGAAAGCTAGTTATTTACATGTTCAAGGGGTTACAATACTTTCTCTTTGCTTTTTTCTTCACAAGGAAGATATTAACTTGATTTTATTCAACAAACGGATGCAAACTTTACGTTAAGTTACTTTAAAGTTATATAAGTTTTAAGGACCTCATTCTTCGGGATTCGACATGAGAGGAGTCGGTTCCGTTTGCTTTACTTATTGATTTGAACAGTACGAATAGTTAGCAAAGTTTCACGTATTTGATACTCTATATGTGCATAGATAATGTTTAAATTTTATGAATTAACTAGTTTTCGCCCGCGACTCCGTCTGCGTCGAATTTCAAAAAACAAGTAGTCTCTGTATTCTTCCAAACTATCCTCTACATCTATACCAAATTTCATTGAAATCTGTTCAGCCGTTAAGGCTACCAACTCTAACAAACATGATTTTGAAACATTTTTTTTTTATAAAAATGAAAAAGAGGTTAAATGGAAAGGTAAAACAAGCTATTATTTTTAATAAGCAATTAAGGGTCTTAATGATTTATTAATATTCAAGCTATAAGGTAAAATAATTTAAAAAACATAAATGCCTTATCGAAGTTCCAGCCGATTATATTTAAAATTTGTTAAATAACTTCAAATAACACTGCCCGCTGAGAATTACGAAAGCCCTTTGACGAACACCAAAAAAGTTATAAATTTTCCTCTAAAGGTTTTTATTTAAACTTTCTTAACTACAAATTATTTATTTTTGGTATTTAAATTGTTGAGAATTGTCATTTTTAATAACCATCCAAACGTAATGGTTGTTATTAATTACATTTTGCGGAAAAGTAATAGAAAAAGGTTTCCGTACATTCTTAAGTATAAATATTATTCCACAGGTTAAGTAAAAAGGGTATTGTTAAGTAACTTTTCCTTAAGAATTAAACTTTCTCTGATTAGATTAAGTTGGGTAAGTGCTAACGGATTATGGGATTATTTTCCTTCTACAAAACTAACTTACTTACAATCAATTCCCTTAATTATGTAATTGAGTAAACCATTTCATTATTAAAATTATATTAACTTCAGTATATGTTTTGATAACTATCTCCAAATGATATACAAGCAGTTTAAAATAATGTATTTTGATTACGCGCGTCGCCAGCCAATAACCAAGGGGCGACAACGTCCGCGTTAAAAAAAAAAACAAAAGTAAGTAGTCAGTGTGTTATTTCAGACTATGCTCTATATTTATGTCATCAAGATCCGTTCAGTCGTTTCAGTAAACTATAACAAACATCCATCTAAACTTTCGCATTAAAATATTAAGTAAGATTTTAAAGAAAATGCTTCTCAACATGTTGTCCAATTTAGTAATGAAAAACTGACAAGTTTTATACGAATTGAAAGCATTTTTGTTTTTTTTCAAAGATTTATGCTTAGTAATAATCTCAAGCCCACAACACACCGGCAGTTTAAACTGAACAATCCAAATGTACCGTTAACACGTATGCAGACAAAATGATAACTGACTGACAGTCAACTTTTTCCAAAAGGTGTCAGTTGAACGTGTATTGCAGACTTTATATTTACAAATATCGTAAATGTTTTGGGCAACGAAAACCTACATCTATTAAAACGTTGTTTAAGAAAACAAAAGGAAAACATAAAATAATCAAGTGTTGAAGTTTGGAGCGATTCTTGATTAGGAGCTAATTTCCCTTTTATTCAAGCAAAGGTAATGTCACAATTTTTTCATTAATGAAGCCATCTAAAAGATTTTGTTGACTTTATCGAATGTTTACTCTTTTGTTTTAAATAAAGAAAATTCTAAGAAGAGATTGTAAATAAACCGATTTGATCGAAGAAAAATTGCTTATTTTCCTCATTGACGCTAAAGAATTTTGATCACAAATAACTTTGTTACTAAATTTGATTTTGTGAATACATATCTTAAGGTTTATATATACTAAGTTCCTTGTATAAATCCAGGTGGTTTAATATGAAAATACCTAAATAGTTTTATTTAAATTTTACCTGCAATCTTTAAAACTTAAAGCAAATGAGAGGAAGGATTGGAATTTTAGAATATTTTCTCCATTGAGAAACTTCTTTTACAGAAGACACTGACTGATCTTATCGTTACATAATAGTGGCCCGTTTGAGTCTCCTTTTAAGACCACAACCTAAATAGTTAAATAAATATCTCGATTAATCAATCGTACTTCATGCTAATATTATAAATAAATAGTTTTTATGAATTTATGGATGCTTTACCACGTATTTATGAATTTTGATGAAATTTTGCACCGAAGAACAAGTAGGTTTCTTACTGAGACATTTTTTTTAATTTCGTGCGAACAAAGTCGTAGACAAAACTAGTTGTAAATCAAATTAACTGATAATTATTATATCATGTGATGTGAAAACTATGATCGTAAAGTAAGTCGCTATAATAAAAATATTATCTGAATTCGATCACAGAAATTTGTTATTCCAATACACAAACCACTTAGTCGATTGTCTTTGCAAATCGTTATTGAATAATTTCGTATTAAATCTGAATAAAGGAGAAAAATAACATTCATTGTCACCTCTTTTTGACCGACTTCCCAAAAGAAGGAGGTACTCAATTCGACTTTTTTTTTTTTTTATTAATTATGTTCTATCGGAAAAACAACTAAATAATGATTTTAAAACTACATTGGGATGTTGACTTTCAACTTTTATGTCCAAGCGATTACATAGTATATACGCCACAGGCTTTTGTCTCCGACTCCGTGTGGAATTAAAAAAAAATAAAGTAAGTACCCTATGACTTGATGTTCTTGCAGACTTTGTTCTACATCTATGTCAAATATCGAGATCCGTTCAGCCGTTCAGTCAACTCTAATAAACGTCCATTGATCTAATCTTTCGCATTTATTATATTAGTAAGGTTGAAATACACTAATTTGAACTTTTTGAGAGGTATTCAACTGCGAATAGCGTATGAGGTGTTCCCTTAGCATGAAAAGTTATACAACATATACTTTAAGACTGAAAACCGTTTTAATACCAGCTTATTCTACCTTCTTATTAAGTTAGCCGGTACCATCTTTCGACTGCACCATCACTTTCTTAAGGTGGAATCATTCTTAAGCGCTAGGCTTAACAAACATTGAATAATGGAAAAAAAATGGAGTTTGCTATAAAGACAGATGAATGTTATGAAAACTTTTTGAATGCAAGCCTAAGATTCAAATTACGACCGGTTTTGAAAAGTACAATAAAACTAAGAAATCCCGTACAAAGCTTGTAGTAAACTTTTTAACGACAACTTGAGTGGAAAAAGTTTATCAAGGGATTATTTGGAACAAGATGGACAAGTACATTGCTTACAGACGTAATTGAAAATTATACTTTAACTGAAAAATTTTTAGTTTTTTTATTAAACTAGTAAATGTGTTTTTTTTTTTATTTTCGTAAGTAATATTAGTTAAAAATTAATAACACTCTTAACTGCATATTTAGTAGCTTTTATTAAAGTTTTTATTATTATTTTGGTACCCATTAAAAAAAATTAAAGAAAAAAATTCAAGTTTTAATTTTTTTCTCTTTTAAAAACAAGTAAAATGGTAGTCAACTTAGTTAGTACTTACCAAAGGTTCTTGTAGGTTGTTGTCGAAGGTTGTCAGGGCAGTCAGCACATGTGTCTTTGGGCGTGCAGGTTTGGTTGTGGAGTGCGCTTGGGCGGGCGAAGCGGGAGCTTTTAAGCACCCGTCACAGAGCTTAAAAAGCGCGCGTAGGACGTTTCGTGTAAAGTAATGAATTGTTTAGATCTGATATTTTAAGGTACTGTTTAGTTTAATACTCGCGTACAAATGGGACTTTTCCACGTAACGATTTTCCGTAAAATTTCGTACAGACATATAAAAAAATTAGAATAAAACAAAAAATGTCTTTCGAAGAAGTCATGTAAATTAATAGTTAGCTATTTACATCAATATCAGCAACAGAAGCAACTTTAAAATCAAGTGAAACCGACTTAAACCGAGTTAACTTAGGAACTTTAAAAAATTCTTATAACTGTGTATTTTTTCTTCCTTATCTAGCAGTATAGCACTGGCCAAAAAATAGTAGAATAAAAAGGCACACTTCATAATTCTTCTCCGTTATCATAAAAATATTCTTTGCACACGTCTACAAGATTCATAGGTCTACAATCCGCCCTGCGCTCGGCCACTCGCAGCACAGATTCGAAATTCCTATGCTAGAAAGAGACGATGTCATAGCACCCTCCCTTCCTCCCTTTCCCACCCAAACTTGACGCGCCGGTATCAAGTTATTAAAGTTGCAATCAGTTGATTATGGAGTTGTTTTCATCGGTTTATTACAGCTGTAGGCACTCCAGTGGATTTTTAATTACGCATATTACTGCACGTTAACGTCGAATACATAAATAAGCAATAAGATAGGAAATGTCAGGTGTTATGTACTTAGACTTCATGAAGTTGACTCAATGCAAACTAATTCTGTTAAATGATAACTCACTGCAGCACTTAGAGTTAATTTTCTACTAAGAGTCACCCTTAGAGGAAACTTTTCCTTTATACTAAGCTGGGCGGATTATTCCTAACCGTCACCCCGCTCTGTCCCCACGTGGGGACAGATAAAAACTAAAAGTTTCATCCGTTCCACCTTCTGCGACGACCTATTTTAATTTCATAACGGTTCCATCTGTCACCTTATTAGTGATAGTGCGACTAAAAAGTGGGACAGATGAAACTTTTCATTCTCAGGTGGGGACAGAGCGTGGTGACGGTTGGGAATAATCCAGCTGGACTATTTGCTGCGCGACTTATTAGAGACACTAAAGGTAAACATGTTGTATCTGAACTTGTAAATATTTTGAATCGACTTTAAAAAAGATAGGATTCTTAAATCGATTGTTTTTATTTTAAAATGATTATAATATTTATGTCTGATTTGCGTTGTTCTTAGTTTAAAGTTTGATGTGGACTATTCCTGTCATTTGATTATTTTTTTAATGAAAAACTATTGCGTAGTTTACCGAGTCTTTCTTTAATAAAGTGTACGAAAACTGGGTTAAAAATAGAACATTTTTAATATTCTTTTTTCTAAACATTCTCAGTTCCCGCTCCGATTGTAAATAATGCATGCACGTAAGTTAGTTTTCGTAGCCGTAACGCAAATTTGAATAATTTGCGGCAAAATTATTACAGTGATATTTCGCTTAGTTATGAATGATAATGTTCTATAACATTTTGTGATATTTTATCTTGCTTAATTCTAATATTATGAAAGCGAAAGTTTGAATGGATGGATGTTTGTTACATTTGTCCAATACGCCTTAAAGGAATATAATGTTTGTCGCGCATTTACTAAGTTTTTTTATATTCCTTGCCGACAGTTTCTGACAATAGCTAATTTTGTGATATTAGAATTATTTGTAATTCTCACAATTGTACCCAATTGCGCTTTTAAAAACTGTATATTATTATTGTGTTTTTTTTTTATTTCAAATTTTAAATCATAATAATCAAAGATGTTATTTCCATTATCCCAAATATAAAATAATTAAATTAAATTTTAGAAAGTAACTATAAAAAAGATTTTCCTTTTTAAGTAAACTATATTTCTTTTTTATATTCAGCACTCAATGAAACATTACTGATGACAACAGTCTTTTGTTATTCAACAAAGATTAAGGAGCTGTTCTAACTAAGCTGCATTCTATTTGCTCTTTAAACCTTTAAACTTGTCTTATTGTTTTGGTGTCCCTACTTTAAGTGAGAATTAACTATAGGTTCAATACTGAATAATTTACAATATCGTTGTTAAGGAATTGACTTGTAATCTACAGACCCTGTGTTTGAATCCAGCCATAAACTAATAAGATTTTTAAATTGTATATGTATATAAGAAAGCTTCGGTGGTTCAGTGGTTTAAGCACTTGACTTGTAATCTACAGGTCTTAAGTTCGAATCCCGTCATATACCAATGTGATTTTCGATTTTTCGAAATTGCATATGTATAATTTACCCGACGTTCTTACGGTGAAGGAAAACATCGTGATGCAACCTGCACATATCGACGAAGAAATTCAAAGATATGTGTGAAGTCAATTAACCCGCACTTGGCCAGCGTGGTTGACTATGGCCTAGTCACCCTAACTTAGGGTAGGCTCCGAGCCCCTCGGTGGGGACATATAGTGAAGCTGGTGATATGTAGATAAATTACCCGACGTTCTTAATGATGTGTCGGATATGATCATTAAGTTATTAAGTGATTCTATTCTTATATTCTTCTCATACAAAAGTTTAAAGCCACGCCCGCTGTAGAATTCTCACCACGTATAATCTCTATTACGTCGCAAGATCGTTTTCATTTGAAAATTTTTATAATAATAGCCTAATATAGTTAAAGTTAGTTATACTTATTCTTCTAGAACAAACCCTTCTGTTAATCACTCACATTTATAAATGTACAGGCTATAAACTGTGGTATTGTTGTGTTTATTTAAATTTCTGTATTTTGGTTTTGATGGTTGCGGTTAGTCGTTAGTAAAGAGTTTTCGAGAATAATAGACTATTTTTAAACAATCGCCTATACTACAATTACCAACATACAAAAAATAGAAAGTTTACCTTCAATAGCAGTACTAATGTTAGAGTAGGGCCGGTGACCGCCCAGGGCACCGAATATAAAAGGGCATCACAGGACCATGAAAGGGCGAACGAGCGCCTTTATTCGTATGGATTTGTATTGACGTTAGGTGTCGTCGAAAAATCTCGCCCAGGGCACCGTTAACGCTAAAACCTGCCCTGTATTTACATCGCAGATTATTTCTTAATTAATTTATGTTTAAAGATAGTACAAAACAAAATTATATCCTGTACAAATGTGTCCATTCCGAAGTAAAAAGTAATAAATGTCCACGAAACATTGTGTGCATATATTTGCATAATTCCTCGCTCGTAAAGTATCGTACAAACTTATGTAAATGTTTCAAAAATTTCGTTCCTCAGACTCATTTATTCTTGTTTCAATTTTTTTATCTCACTATATTTATCATTCAGATTTTATTATTGCCCTATTTTGACGTAATATTTCATTTTCATCATAATAATAGATAGTAAGGGGCAACTGATATCAATAAAACTAGGAATTCATTAGTTTAAGTGGTAGTGGTGTGCCTAGTACTCACAACAATGGTAGTGCCCGCTTTAACATCTTAGCACTGCAGGGCCGGCACGCCCGGTGTAATACCACGACCACACAGAAGACAGGCGTGAAATGGAAGCAATTCCGTGTTTCGTCTGATGAGTGTGGTGCCGGAGGCCTAATTTAAGTCCCTTTCTCTTTATCACCCTTTTCTTATAAGGAGAGGATGGGAAGGGGAAGTGGATTTGACGGTGGAGGAGATGCATAGGAAGGGGAAATATCCTCTTTATGTGCGTCTCCTCCTCCGTCGTATAAGGGTAGGCAACGCATTTGCAATTGCGGATGTCTATGGGCAGCGGTCGCTTCGCCATTTTGGCGGATTCAAGTGGCCGCTTGCTCGTTTGCCACCTTATGTTATAAAAAAAAAGTTTACAAACCAGACTAATAAGCTAAAATTAGAGAGGCGTTTCCTCCATTTATGGACAGAAGAGAGGTAAGTAAGTGTTCTGGAGAAATGGAGGGAAATAAAAGAGGACACAATAGTAGAAATGGGATGTATCATAGACCATCATTCATCATTGTCTTCAAATCCATAGATATTTTATTTCTATATCTAAATATTCCATCGACAGATGGCTCTGTAATGAAAATTGCTAATTCTGTGCTTACCTTTTTACCACTGGTATAGTGGTTTTGTGCACATTAAAGTCGTCATTAACAATTTCCAATTTTCCTGTAGAATAAAATCGTAATGCTATAAACATTTGTTCCAACGAAGACAATGTAGATTTTCGGAGCGAAACTGCAATCATAGCTGGATAGATGAATTCCCTTCGTTTACATAACGATGTTCATATTTATGATGCTATTATCAATCTCGCATCCTTGACCAGATCATAGCGCCATCTTGAGGAGGCCTGGCCATGTATCGAACTGTCCTGGCCATCTATGACTTGCCGGCTTCATTAGCCATCTGTTCTGCAATGTAGGCTATTGTCTGTTGGTTTTATTTCATTAACCGGCTAAAATTTAACTAAACTGAAACAAGTTTCAATGGAAAAAGAGTTCAAGACACGTAGTTCGGAAGATTTGTGAAGTTATAGAATACCTATCTCATGGTTAAATGAACAACGTTTGAAATAAGTTTTTTAATTGAAGAACTGTACATATTTAGTCGAAACAAACTCGAAATGATTATTCTTTGTTTGGAAACCCGTACCAAAAGCGAGTGTTTAACATTTTAAATGATTTGCTTTTCATTAAAGAAAGTCACACTTAATTATATCCTTACAATTCTATACGGCTCACAATAATTACTCAACATTCTACGAAACAAGATTCATTTGTTCTCGCTCGTTAAATTTTATTAAGAAAATACATCTGTTTTGTTATTCTAATGCAATCATACTATACTATTATAAATGCGAAAGTTTAGATGGAAGTTTGTTAGAGTTTGTAGCCTAAACGGCTGAACGGATTACGATGAAGTTTGGTATAGATATAAAGGATAGTCTGGAAGAACACATAGGCTAATCACTTTTATTTTTTTTAATTC